CTTTCCCAGTGCAGCCAGTAAAGGGACCCGGGTCACGGGCTGTCTCTTCGTGGAGACTCACAATGACCCCACCGACAGTTCTCATGACCCTCCAGAAAGGAGAACTCTCACTCAAACGTCCGCACTTGGCTTCCTGTTGGAAGAGCCTCGCTGCTGTGCAGCCCGACAGAAAATTGCCAGAGTGCTGATGCTGTTGTTCGAGTTTGCAATCCGGTCTCAAAAAATTCATCTACAACTGTCACTTCCAGACTTCAAAACTGTACTTATCGCAAACCTCAAGATTAACACTTTACCTCCCAGCTAAAACGTTAAGGTCCCGACAGATATGCTTACTACATGAAACATGCTTCTTACTTAAAGCAGGGCACACACGGGCTAGTCGCAAGTGGAAACCAAACAACTCTCTTCTAATTATTAATTAGGGAGTTTCCAACTTTTTATAATCACTCACGCCTCCCCCTCGTCATCATACGGTGCGCCTTTACACTGTGCCTGTAAATTTTGCTTTTGGTGGGCTGGGGATGGAGAGTCAGAGCTTTTGCCTTAATCCCTAAATTCTGTGCATATTCACAGAATAACATATACCCCTAATTTTGACTGCAACTCTGTTGGTTAGAAAAGTTATTTAAAATTTTCACCACCCCCTGGAAGCTGTTTTTATGAGTTACTAAGGAAAAAAATTAATGTATAAACACGAAGACTAGCCATCCTTTTCCTAGGCTGGAAATGTCAACAGAAGGTCGCCGCGGGTGTCCCTGCGAGTTATTTATTAATTGCCCCACAACAGAGCGAAGCCTGAGCCGAGAATGACAGAGGAAGGAGGGCCCGAGACCTCTGCGCTCAGACCTGGGGTCGCTGGAGGAAGCCAGACGGCTGGTTCCCTCTGAAAGCGACACCTGCTCGCCTGCCGGACGTGCCCGCCCTGCCCGGCGTCCTCGTCCGCCCCACAGACAGCGAGAACCAGTTCTCCCCGGGGAGTGTAAGGTCCAAACCATTACATCCTTCTCGGGCTATGTGTCTACATTTCCCAAGAGACACTCTTTCGACACCTGCGTCGGGGCTTCCAGGAGCTCGGCCTGCCTCGCGTCCCACCCGGCCAATCGGAGACCCGACGGGGGACATTCTTGGTGGAAAGGTGCGGGCTGCTTGTGGGCTCCCACTTCTGCCACAGCTCGCGGGGGTACCTGTGCCCGACCGAAACACGGTGGCAGATGACTGTAGCCGTCATGCACCGTGACGGAAGACTACCACCTGTGGCACACGGATGAGAAACTGGACAGAATTACAAATTCCATCCAGCTCGTCGTCCGACCACCTTATCACAGAACTCTACGGCTTTATGTGGCTCAAATGTATTCCATAGAGGCTAAGGAGCTAAATCGCAGATGAGGACTTTTTAAAGTATCCGTAATATCCGATGTTTTTTTTTAGTTTAGGTATTGACTTCCTAAATTACTTGTACAATAATATTTTAACATTCAGGCAGCCTTCTGAGGCAGGGGTTCTGAACCTGGCGTCCACGGGTTAAGGAACGTTTATGGGGCGGGGGAGGGTTCTGTGAGCACGCGACAGACTTGCAAACACGTGTCCCAGGTATGGATGGGTGTGGCCTCAGGAGCCCAGGACCGCACGCTGTGCAGGTCTTCCCGAGAGCCGAGGTCACCAGGAGGAACTCAGACAGACTCTCCTTAAGTTAGTCACACTCACGTGTGGTCAGTATCTTAAAAAAGACAGGTACAAAGAAAGTAGAAGTGATTTTAAAAGCACACGCCCTCTCTTTGAAAACTACCATCTCACAGGACGGAATTCCCAGACGCTGTCTTCACGCTAACGTTCATTTTAACAATAAATTAAGAACGTTCGAAACGACAGCAAGGGGGACTGACATCCTCCCTCAAAGCCAGGAGCGCGTCCCGCCGCAGCGGGCAGCGGGCAGACGCGGGCAGCAGGCAGACGCGGGGCACAGCCCTGCGCCCTGGTCACGGGCGGGCTCCCGAAACGAAGCAGCCGTGGGACGTCACTGACACGGCCTCGTGCGGCCTGACGCACGAACCAAGGAACCTCGCCTCACATTTTAAAAGTGAAATCCTGACATTACATCTCGGAGAAAATGCGAAGCCCAAAACACTGAGCGAGAAAGTGAGTCTTCGGCTGTTCTTGACTGTCCAAGTGTCCCTCTGGTGTTCAGAAGCTAGTTTTTTTGAGGGAAGCTCTTCAGGTTAACAAGAACCCGAGTTTGGAGGCTGAGGGCTGTGTACGTCCCTCAAGAGGCCATACTGCTGGCATGTCTGTCACCCAGTTCAGGCTTAAATGCCACAACCGGCCAGTGACTCTACCAAATGCCAGAAACCAGGAACAAACTTGTTCTGCCTCTCTCATCTGATTAGTGTAAAACAGAAAACTAAATTTGAGGAAGAAACATTTTTATCACTGCTTGCATTTTTTTAATTTAAAATTTTAAGTACAGATTTTTTTTCTCACATTTTCCTGCTCTCATCAACGAATCACCTCCCAAATCACTGACAGTAACGGTCACAACGGCCGTGCTGCTCCTGAATTCACGGCTGCACAACGAATAAAAAGCCGTTTCCCACTTCAAACTGTCAAAATTAAAACCTTTAGGCCGATCGCATTCAGATATGACATGCCACAAGGAGGGGGTGGTCGGGGTACCTACCACAGGAA